TCCTGTCGCCCATTCCCAGCTTCTGGCAAACAGAAGCTAGGGGCACCATCCTGCCCATCCTGGCTAATAGCCATTGCTGGCTCCATGAGCTTATCTTCCATGAGCTTATATAGTTCTTTTTTGAACCCTGTTATAGTCTTGGCCTTCACAACATCCTCTGGCAAAGAGTTCTATGGACTGACTGTGCGTTGTGTGAAGAAATACTTTTCTGTTTGTTTTAAACCTTCTGCCTATTCATTTCATTTGGTGACTCCTAGTTCGTGTGTTATGAGAAGGAGTAAATAACACTTCCTTATTTACTTTCTCCACACCAGTCATGATTTTATAGACCTCTATCATATCCCCCTAGTCGTCTCTTTTCCAAACTGAAATATCCCAGTATTATTAATCTCTCCTCATACGGAAGCTGTTCCATCTCCCTAATCATTTTTATCGCTCTTTTCTGAAGCTTTTCCAATTCCAATATATCTTTTTTGAGATGGGGCAACCACATCTGCACGCAGTATTCAAGATGTGGATGTACCATGGATTTATATAGAGGCAATATGATATATTCTGTCTTATTATCTATCCCTCCCTTAATGATTCCCAACGTGTTTGCTTTTTTGACTGCCTCTGCACATTGAGTGGATGTTTTCAGAGAACTATTCACAATGACTCCAAGATCTCTTTCTTGAGTGGTAACAGCTAATTTAGACCCCATCATTGTATATGTATAGGTGGGATTATGTTTTCCAAGGTGCATTACCTTGCATTTATCAACACTGAATTTCATCTGCCATTTTGTTACCCAGTCGTCCAGTTTTGTGAGATCCCTTTGTAGCTCTTTGCAGTCTGTCTGGGACTTAACTATCTTGAGTAGTTTTGGATCATCTGCAAATTTTGCCACCTCACTATTTACTCTTTCCAGATCATTTATGAATATGTTGAATAGGACTGCGCCCAGTACAGACCCCTGGGGGACACCGCTATTTACCTCTCTCCATTCTGAAAACCGATTTATTTTGTACCTTTACTTATTTTGTACCTTTACTTTTTCTAGTTACTATCTTTTAAATACTGATTGTGTGTAGGCTAGAGTCAAAGCCCACTGAAGTGACTGATGGTCTTTCCATTGATTTCAATGGGCTTTGGAAAAGATCCTTAATATTCTATTGAACATGGAGGAGGCAAGGTCCATGACCGGAAGAGTTTACCCTCTAAGACGTTTGATCCTACAAGGTCCCGAGTGCCTTCAACTCAGCACCTTTCAGGAATTTACTCTGTGCACTCAACGAGAGAGGCAAAGTGAAGGTTATCTTTGGAATGTGCCATGTTATATTTTTACATATGTATATCTATTTAAAGGATCATACATGCTGTTAGGATATTTGAATATTTATCAACTTGTCTATATTTGTCTATTTCTAGACTTCAATATGAATGGCAAGATACAAAGACCTGTAGGGGAAGACTTCAACCTCCCTGGCCACACAATAGCAGATGTAAAGGTAGCCATCTTACAGCAAAAAAACTTCAGGACCAGACTCCAAAGAGAAACTGCTGAGCTTCAGTTCATTTGCAAATTTGACACCATCAGATCAGGATTAAACAAAGACTGTGAATGGCTATCCAACTACAGAAGCAGTTTCTCCTCCCTTGGTGTTCACACCTCAACTGCTAGAAGAGGACCTCACCCTCCCTGATTGAACTAACCTCATTATCTCCAGACTGATTCTTGCCTGCATATTTATACCTGCCTCTGGAAATTTCCATTACATGTGTCTGATGAAGCGGGTATTACCCACGAAAGCTTATGCTCCAATACATCTGTTAGTCTTAAAGGTGCTCTGTTGCTTTTTATATATTACACAAATACCACAATGCTCTATCTGAACTGAGGGGTGCTCATTTTGTGTGGGGGAAAAATTGCCTTGAGACCCTTCTTCATAATACATAGACCAAAGAGGGAAGAAAACAATCAGGAAAATATGGAACAATCTTCTAAACCTCTCTAATAGCAGCTGCAATAACATCTGTAATTACTTCTTGTACAAGTTTCAAATCACTAAGAGCAAACTGTATATTAAGTCAGCTATCCTCTGTTTCTAGCTTTGTTAACTTGTTGCCTAGAGACTCTCAAGAAACTCTAATAAGGTTTCATCATTTCATATCAAAGACATGATACATGGATTGAGGGCAACCTCTGCCTTGGATCCAATTCCTGGTTGGATGTTAAGGCGGTGCATATCTGTTATAGTACCTCTTACTCAAGGACTAGCAAATATCTCCTTTGAATCTGTTATTGTCTCATCTCATTTGAAATAAGCTATTACACCTCCTCAGCTGACGAAGTCATCATATTAAGTATGACTTATCTGAAAAATTCTAATCAGTTTTTAGAGCTGAAGAGAGAACTATTAGCATTATATAATTTCAAGTGTAATGACTACCTTTATTTGCTCATTGTGACCCTATAAATTATTAACGGAACTCAGTATTCTATTTTATCCTTTAACTCTGGTAGAATTTATTTTTGATTGTTTGTTAAAGAAGAGTCCATACTGAAGATACACTTTACCCCTAGATATTTTATCTCAGCCCAGTTTTATGTAATATGGTTTCAATGAAATAAAAAGGAAAGAACAGTTAAGCTTGCTCCCAGTTATTTTAGGAAGGTTTCTATAATAAACAACAAAATTTCAGATGAATTATTGTCCTAAAAAGACAATCAAATCTTCATAAATATGATTTTATTTGCATGTCCTCTATTCCAAATCCAGGAATTGCAACATCACATAAAGCTGGTTTGATACTACCCAATATGATGATATGTGGCTGTCTTGTATTGCTTCCTCTAGTACAGGGCTTTCTCAAACTGGAGGTCGGGAGTCCTCAGGGGGTCGCAAGGTTATTACAGGGAGGATCGTGAGCTGTCAGCCTCCACCCCAAACCCCGCTTTGCCTCCAGCATTTATAATGGTGTTAAATATATTAAAAAGTGTTTTTAATTTATAAGGGGGGGGGGCGGCACACTCAGAGGTTTGCTGTGTGAAAGGGGTCACCAATACAAAAGTTTGAGAACCGCTGCTCTAGTACAACTAGTCACATGCTATTCAAATATCAAGCCAACTTTTAGATACTGACAAGAAGTCATTTTTCTTCTAGAGAAATTGTGACCACCATCCAATCACACTGAAGTTACAAACTCTTCCCAAACAAATTGAATAGGAAAAAATGATATACATAAAGAATGCAGTAGCTCATGTTGTTACGAGTACTGTGCTGATGTAATATACTTCTTCTGATTTAAAATCACTAAACCAGTTACCATAAAAATCTGCATTCATTTCAAAGCTGTATAATTTACTTTTACATCATTAAAGGTTGTAGCCTTTCATAACTGATTAAACATTTGTCCTACATCCTACCCATGCATGGATATCAGTTACCAGACCGTTTGATATGTCCAAGTTACAATCAAAAACAGAGGCCTGATCTAAGACCATTAAATTCAATGGAAAGTCTCCCACTGATTTCCTTGGGCTTTTCACATGAATGTTCCATTTGTTGCCATTTTCTAGTCACCTGTTATACTTTTTTACAGCTACAGACACATCAGCTTGTCATTGCTTTCAACTGCTTTGAGAAGTCTGAATATGTTAAATGTGTTTTACTGTCTCGAATCAAAGAATGGGACTGCAAGGTCTTTGGAGCAGGGACTATTAGTATTAATACAGATCCTAGCGCAATGGCTAGGGGCTCCCAGGTGCCATGGTAACACAAATAGTAATAAATTACTAATCACAGAAGGACAGTACATAAATTAGAGACACAGTAAACCTATTTTAATTTTATTTGTTGGTTACCAAGTATCAGGTTATAAGTTGCATTGGATCCCAAACACAAATCAGGGTAGTAAAGCATGTCACACAAGTTATTGGGAAAAACAGTCGCATTTGAGTAACATATATAATCCACCCTGTGGGGCATTGATGAGAGGGAAGGTTCCGTAGTTTATCTAGCGCCAGGGCTGGAGGAAAGCTACCAAACCACTTCAGAGTCTGGCTCAATGAAGGCCAAAATAACCCCACACAGGTTTATAACTGCAGCAGAGATGAGTCACATCAAAATTAAATTATTCATCAACATCCCGGGGGCATCAGATTTTGCTCCTTTAAAAATGGCAAGATAAATTAATATTTCTTCTCATCCCCTCTCTGTTCTCCCAGACACATGAATCGATGCCAAGAGGTCCTCTCTTGCTAGCCAGGCTGCCGCTGTATCTCCCAGTGCTCACAAAAAGCCCAAACACATGATGTCATGAAGAACCCCAGCTTTCCTTAAATCAATGGGAGTGAGGGTGCTTAGAAACTTGCAAGACCGGGCTTCCTCTCAGCAACACAAACATTGTGTTTGATTGTGCACTGCTTGCCATAGATTCAGTGCCTGTTTCTTGTGGGACCTTCTCTAAAGGGCCAGACCAGGGAGCTGTGGAACACGGGTGTGCTGTCTGTTAACGGAGTAGCTGCTAGGAGTTGGTTCTCACTGATTACAAAGCTTGTTGTTTAAGGCTAGTGATGAATATTCAAGTCATTTTAAGAGCAATATGACTCTGCAGTTCTTTTTTCACCCAGGTGCTGCAAGTCAGAAAGGAGTGCAATTTGGGGTAACTGGGATGGTTTACTTGATAATTAAACAAGCAACCAAACAACATGTGACTCCCCAGCACCTTTCTAAAAAGTGTGAAGGATTCTAGGAAAAGTTCTTGGAAGAGGGATATAGTAGAAACTACTTCCTGAAAGAAAGATGTTGCAGATACAGAGGATACTGCCATCCTATCCCACACACAAACTCACTGATGTTTCTTGGTGCTGCTTTTTAATTCAATTTTCTAGCTGTTATTTATTTTGGATTGTGTGTCCCTGCCACCTGCTACTTTAATTCTCTGTAACTAAGAGGTGGGGCTCAGTATGGCCCCCAACTTCCATTGCCAGCTGGGATTCAGTCAGCAGTTCTTACCTGACATTGTCGTGCTTCTGGATGTAGATCTTATGAAACATCATATCCTCCTGTTTGGCATTAATGTCGGCTTTCATCTCCATGGCAACGTGACGAGGAAGTACAGAGAGCAGGAGCCGCTCCTGTTGAGTCAGACAGATGAACCAATTAAAACACCTGCTTCCCAGTTAACAAACGCTCGTTGTTTCTTATCGGAGAGAAATGAAGCCATCAGTTCAGTGACTGATGAGCAAAAGCAAGAGGAATGGTCTTCATAAATGCAGCAGCCAGTTCTGCCATCAAGGCACCGGGGGTCCTGTCCCACTCAGAAAAATATGAACACAATATCAAAGGGAAAGTAAATTAACCTTCCTGCCAGACCCACTATATATGCTATCTACAGTTGCAGATTCTTCCAGATGAATGAGCCATATGGAGGCAGCTGCTTCAGTGCCCAAGTCTGTATAGTACACAAGTTTGCATTCCAGTAGGGGGCTCCAAAGCAGCAGGACTTCATTCTTAGAGACCAGCAGTCACTGCAAAGTACTGAGGCGCTCTTTAAAGAGCAGTATTACTAGCTGAACACATCCACAGGCAGCAAGAGTAACAAAGCCTCAAGTAAAAATGTAGACTTGGAAGTCTCATTATATAAACCATGCATCATTACAGGGTTCTCCGTTGGGCATAAGGCTACAGGACTGATTTCCCAATTCCCCTGAAATCCATTTAAGAGTCTCATTTTACTTCACTAACCTGTAACAGGCAGAGCACAATCTAACTCACAAAGGGAGCGTTCCTTACTATGCTCCCCTTTGGGGGGAAGGGGGGAGCTCTGGGTGCAATGGTAATGGGACTCTTCAGGGGGTCCAGAATATGGGTTCTCCGTGGCAGGGAAGGGTTGCACCAATATAACTGGCAGGAGAATTTGGCCCAATTGTACAACACATACTCCTGAGGGCATTCTGCACCAAAAAAAATAAAAAAATCGCCCCCCCCCGAATTAAAAATTTGGCCCCCCCAAATTAAAAATTCTGAAAATGTTATTTGTCAAATAAATGTGGAGTCTCAAGCATGGCACTGGGGAGCACAGGCCACTGGCTGCACAGAGGTGGGAGATCACTGTGCAGCTCCCCCGAGGGACACGGACTCAGCAGGGAGGCTGCACCCAACCCTGACACAGCGCAAGGACCGGGCCTGGCCCAGACACACCCCAGGGCCCTGCCCTTCCATGCCAGGTGCACCAGGTGTGGGCAGGCAGAATCCAAGTGTGGAGGGGCTTAGTGTGGGGGCATCCAGGTGTGGGTTGAGAGGTTTCTGTGTGGGGCAATCTGGGTGCGGGTGGCTCAGTGGGGGATCAGGTGTGGGTGGGATCTGGATGCTCAGGAGCTTGTTGGGGGGGGGGTTCTGGGTGCAATGGTAATGGGACTCTTCAGGGGGGGTCCAGGTGAAGGTGGTTGGGGCTCAGTGTTGGTGGGGATAGAGCTCAGCAGGGGGGTCTGGGTGTGGGGGGCTCACTGGGGGTCCAGATGCTGGACGAGTGGGGCTCAGTGGGGTGGGGATCCAGGTGCAGCTGGTTGGGGCTTGGTGGGGTCGTGCAGGGGGAGTGGGACTCATCTGATTGCAGGGGGGAGGTGAGGTGAGGCTCGGCGGGAGGGTCTGGGTATGAGGGGGTCTGGATGCACGGGGGTTGGGTGGATGGGAGAGCAGCTCCCTGTACAGGGATCCCTCCCCCTGCAGCCGAGGAACAATGGGTGCAGGAAGCGGGCTGGAGGTAGGGAGTTTGCAGAGCTTCCTGCAGCCCGGGGAAAAATCTGGGGGTGGGTCTGACCCAGCCCTGGATGCCGTGTAGGGGAAGAGGAAGTCTTGTCCTCCCCAGCGCAGCAGGGACTAGCAGCTAAGCCCAGCGCAGGGAGGAGCCACCAGCTGGGTCTTCCCCAGTCCCACTTCCTACACCACAGTCATTTACCTATCTGCCAGCAACCTTGGGCACCCAAAACATACTGCTGGGGAGGGTCGCATGACTGCTCTTGTGGCTTCCCTTTGCTTCCCCATCAGAAAGTCATTTTTCTGCGGAGAAGCAAATAAATCTGTAGGGGACATAAATTCTGCACATGCGCAGTGGCGCAGAATTCCCCCAGGAGTAAACACACTATTAGTAGTTATTTTACAGTAGCACCTGAAAACCTCAATTAGGATCGGGGCCCAGTTGCATAAGGCATAGTAAACATACATGCATACAGTGACATTACCTCCATTACCTACCTTCCATCACCCACAATTCACATCTCTCTACCCTCATCCTGAGCAACTAAGGTGCATCCTTGTTTATTTGTAATATCTTTGTGTTTTGAAGATTAAAATGGGCTCGGTGTAGCTTTCATAAAATTACTTCGTATGTTGTTCGCTATCTAGTTTTGTACCTTAAGAAACTGAGTTATTGTGTCACATTACAACTGATGGGAGTGGGACAACTTTTCCTAAATATCAGAGAAAAGCCTCTGTGACCTGGCCATCTATGTAGCCTGTGATCAGCCTAAATCTGGTAGTAATTTTTATGCAGAAGTTGCAGAATGTAAATCTGCAAGTGTATGCATGCTGGTGTTTTGTGTGTGTAGTTAGCATTAGACCAGATACAATACGGTTTTGCCTAAATCCTTTATTTGCCTTTTATTTTCTGATTTCACCTCAAAATTCCTTTAGTTTAAGGAATTTTTTTCTACAAGAAAAAGCCAGATTAAAATATGGATATCTATTTTGTTGGTCCAACTCAAATGTAGTCTAATCAGTAGGCAAGAGGCAAGATGTTCTGACAACACTGTAGAATCACAACAATTTATACAGTCTACCTGTCCATACTATCTCTTTTTCCTGCATGACAATTGCTACTACATAGCATGGAGGGAAGCAATTGTCTCCTTCACCAACCACACAATCATAATCTAGTCTAAATGAAGGTCCATAACCTTATTCAATAGATCATTAATTCCTAACAACACAGAACTCCACAGATCAAACTGCAATCATGACTCAGAGGGGTCAATGCTCTTGTACTAATTGCTCACAACACCATTAAAAACCCTCTTTTCCATAGTTCATTCCATTATAAAACACAATTCTGGTTTTTAATTCATGTTTTGTCTTACTGTTGCTTATTTACTTGTGTCCAAGTACAGCATAACAAACTCTGTGAGAACTGTAAGAGAGCAAACTTGTTGATAATATGTGCAATGCACTCACTAGAGAAATCTTTACAATGCATAGTGTTGCACTGTATTTACCTGTCCTTTAATGTACATTGTCAGGGCTTGATTCCCATCTCCAGTCCCTTCATCTGTACCAAAAATATGGAACAAAATTCATGAGGGATCACTATCAGGCACAGCTCAAAACTGTTGCAGCTGAGAGAAGGTACTGCGGTCCTTGAAAATACATAATAAAAGAGGTCTGCATCATCTGTGCCTGTGTGCTTGAATATCAAAATAAGAAACTTTAGCTATTTTCACATCAGTTATACTTGCGCTTCTGACACTAATGTATGTCATGAGCACAAAAGCACAATATATTTCATATATTTACTGGAATAACCAAGGCACATTGGTGCACACACCATTGCCTCTCAGTTAATTGTAATGGACACCCTCAGATGTACAGAAGCTGCTAATCCTACATTGAATTTTACACATCTGTCAGATAACTCAGAGAGCCAAATAAAAACTCCTTAATAGAGCTGGGCAAATTTTTTTGGCAAAATCTTTTTCTTTTTTGGCTAAAAAATGCAGTTTCTAGTTGATCAATACATTTTGTGAATTGGTGTTGAATTCGCCCGATTCTTTTACTTTAAAAAATTGAAGTTTTGTTCCGATATTTTCAAAAATAAATGTTTTAATTTTTTGATTTGAAACTACTTTTCATTTGTAAATTTTCTTCCATTTTATTTAAAAATGTAAAAAAAACAAAAAAACAAACAAAACCCCCCCCACCTCATTTCACTCAACCCCATCCAGATTTTTTTCAACTTTTTGGTTCATCAAAAAGTTGTAATTTTTTTTTATTATTTCCACATCAGTGGGCAAATAAAAAAAATCAGGTATTTGTAAAGCTCTACTCCTTAACCCAGGGAGATCTTATGGGCTTGTGACGCTCTCCGTAGGTCCATAAGGGCAGAAGGATGATCTTGTGCTTACAGCACCACAATGGTGATCAGAAGACCAAGGCTATGTTATTGGCACTGCCACAGACTTCCTGGGCAACTTTCAGAATGTTCTTTAATTTGTTTACTTTCCCCAGCTGTGAAAGGAGAATACTAATATTTCCCTACATCACAGGGATTTTGTCAGGCTCAATCTATTGATGCTTTTGAAGTATTTTGAGATCCTCAGATGGAAAGCACAAAGCATCATCATCAACCAATGAACAGGTTACACTTACCCAGATATAGTTTGCCATCTCATACAAATACATGGAGTAGTAATAGCCTGCATTTAATAACTGCTCTAAGCACAGTTCAATACAATTTACTGGTACCAGTTAGACACCTTCATTTTATGTAACTGGTTAAGAATATACACAATAAAACACAACACAACTAGTATCTAGCTTTAAATTTCACTGAGATCTCTAATGAAACACTGCCACCCTAACTGTAATATCATTCAGCATGTATTGGCCAGGCGAATAGTATTGCCTTACTATACTTATGTTGGCAGTAGTCAAATAGGAGGAGAGAAATAAGTACAAATTATATACATTTCCTTGATTTTTATACAAAGATATACTAGATAAAGATACAGAATTACAGATAGATCTCTCTCTCACTCTCCAGCTATGTATAACTAGCTAACATACCTATATTACTAGCTAGGGATAACCTCAAAGCACTTATAAAGAGTAATTAATTAAACCTGTGAACCTGCTTGTGAAGTAGGTATTCATAAAATAATTATACCTGTTCGACAGATAGGGCGAGTGACTTGTTCATGGTCAAAAAATTAGTAATGCTGGGAGTAGAAGCCTGTAGGCCTGACTTCAAGTCCTTTCCTCTAATCCTTAGAAAATACACACTTGTTGGAGGTTGTTTAGGGTGCGCAATTTCAGCTAAGAATTCTTTATTCCATTCCAGTAATGCTAACCTCACTTACTACTCCTCGCCAGGTTATAGTGGATAATGAAATCACTAGAAAGTGGGTGAGGTAATAACTTTTATTGGACCAACTTCAGCTGTTGACAGAGACAAGCATTCCATCTTACACAGAGCTCTCTCCCATACAGCATGTGATAGTACTGTCAGATTCCCCAGATACTGTTAGATAATCTTATAGCAGCAGTTGGCCTGGATGGATATTTTTTACCAATGCCTAGTCTGGAGACTGATTCATGTCTTGTCACCTGAAGACAAGATTACAGCAATGCATTTTACAGGGGATACACCTTAAACGAACTGGGAAATCAGTGCCAGTACAGGATGAAGTAGCAAACTTACTGAACAAGCTATCTTGCTGTGAGACCACAACACCAGCATTCTAGGACCTGCACTGGCTGCTGGTGGGTTTCTAGGTGGAGCTTAAGCTGTTGTTTTTTGACTTATAAACCTCTAAAATCATGAAATGGGGTTTCTATTTTTGACCTATAAACTGGACTGCCTCTCCCGCCATGCATCATAACTACAGTCTGGGGAGACATTCCAGCTGGATTCCCCTCAGCTTAAAAGGGAGGGATCTGCTAACAGGGCGTTCTCCATGAGGGCCTCTTGACTTTGCAAAGTAGGGCCTCTTGACTTTGCTACTTGATCTAAAGTAGCCCAAACTTCAGGGCATGCTGCAAAGCCCATCTGTTTGCCAGGGTTTTGTGGGAGGGAGAGGCTTGTTGACATCTGGCATTTGTAGGTAAAACATTTTCCTAGTTTGGGGATTTGGGGGTAGGAGAGGCTGCTGATTTTATCTTACTGTGACTGTATTTTTAGTTTGCGTAAACGGCATTTAGTTATGGTTAGGGTTACCATACGTTCGGATTTTCCCGGACATGTCCGGCTTTTGGGGGCTCAAATCCCCGTCCGGGGGGGAAAATCCCCCAAAAAGCCAGGCATG